TTAGCCGCTTTTGTCTTATAGCTAAAATTATTCATCATAAAAAAACACAAAATGTGTGTTTGGAAAATACATTTTTTCTGTCCAGATCTAATCACCAGTAATTACAGTCATGGAGTAGGACAGCAAAGCGGGCATTTGTGGTAAATGCTGCATTTCAGGGCCATTACCCCTTATTATTAAAAGTTTTTCCATTTTCTTTACTTTTTGCTCACTATTTTAACATACAAACCAGAAACAAGAATCACAAAAAGCGAGGTTATGTTTTTTACTCTGTTTTATTTGATTTGATTCAATGCTCTATTGTGACGTCATCACTTATCGGTCTCCTCGACGCTCGCTCGATCGAGTTTCAAATCAAACGCCCCTCTAGTGACAAAAACAAAATTTTTGAGTATGACACTTATTTTCCCAGTCATAACTATTTTACATTTACTAGACTAGAACATAAAGCTTATAAAAATAGCAGTTTGGATTATCTCAGATAGTGGAAAGTGAGTGTAGCAGAAAATTGAGCATATAAATTGATAAAATCATGAACTGTTTATAATAATAAGTCTGGCTGATTTACGAAATTGGCTAATGAGTCTGGTAATATCTTCTAAATGGAAAAAATATAATATTTTTGCCTTTATTTTCGCGGGTTTGAAAATTTGTCACGTGATAGATTAAATTATAATTTTACACCTCCATTTTATAGCCAATCAACTGCTGTTATTTTAAAACACTTTCATGACAACCAGAAAAATTTCCGGAAATTTTTCTTTTGGTGGGTACCCTGAACGAAATTATACTGAAAATGTTTTTCACAGTTGAGCAGCTCTTTCATGCATATAAAAAATTTGCCATTTCAGTGGTTAATATTTTATTTAATACCAATTATAACTAGGTAGAAATATACTACATTTATTTTATGTAAATTAATAATTAGGTTTTTCGCGTCAACTAAACGACTTCAAATATGACAAATGGTCATGGTATGGCCACAGCATATAAAACGTATGTTTTATATTCTTTGAAAATTTGATTTTAGTCGTTTTAATGCATGTCTGTCAAGTTTTGAAATTTGGATATTTTGGTGTAAAACTTTCTTACCCAATACCAAACGTGCCTAAATTATTATCTGTAAATTTTTGCACACTCACGCATATTTTAAGAACATTATCCATCTACTTAAGATAAATTTCAAAATATTCGTAAATGAAAATACACGTCTGGCTGACAATTACAATTACGGAGGCCTGCCAGACTCACAAGTAGTGTCCGACCGAAGGTTCGGTTACGGTTTCGGCCAACTTTGGCTTTAAATAATAGTTTCGACTACAGTTTTTTATATTTCGGCGGAAAACTGGCCGAAACTGCAGCCGACAGCGAAACTACTTTTAAAAGTTTTCGTATCACAATTGGTTGTGTCCGGCACAATGGCGACTGTGCCGGGTGCCATTCCTACACAGTGCACGTACACACAAACTTCTCTGCTTTGTTTCAAGTGAACATGTCAATAAATTTATTAATGGCTTCTTTTGATCACATAAATAAACAGGTAATAAGTAAATGTAGCTAAAATTTATAATACGAGTTAATTAGTCTAAAACAAGGATTACAATGAGATATTGCAAATTTCAATAAGAGATTGCCTTAAAAGAAAATTCTTGTTTCTGTTTCGGCCGAAACTAAGAAAGTAGCCGAAATTTGGTTTCTGTTTCGGTTATAAAACCGTATTTCGGTCGGACCTGACAAGCCAGGTAGTTAAACGAGGAGAGGAATAGTAATCGAACGTGCCGAATTTAGCGCGCCTGACGGTCATTAGACGAGTCTGGCAAGGTTTTCGGGGTTCCACATTAGCCAGATTGTATTTTAAGCTGTTATCATAATATACATTTTTCTAGTAGTGAGAACACTTGTAACGGATCCTTACTGGACATTGCCAACTAAAATGACACCTTAGTAAACTGAGAGTAGTAGAAGATAGTGCAGATTTTGTGAGGAGGAGGAAAAAATCTTCATTCACATTCTAACTAAATGTGTAGCACTTCAGAATCCAAGGGCACTATACCTAGGAGCATATCAAATAGAAGAGGGAGATTTACCTAACTTGAAGCCACTCCAAATCCTACACTTCCTTGAGAAGATATAATTGGAAGGATCTTTATTCGCGATTCAAGCTAAGTGATACGCCCTCTGGAGGAAATTTGTAGAAGGTCCCTATAAGTAGGATATCGTTCAGTGTTGCCAGAAGTAGCAAAATTTCGCTACGTCGTCGGATTTTAGCTCTTGAAGAAGTGGATAAGACCTTTTATTTAAGAATCAAAATTTGTGTATAGTAATATGTAATCATACTCTATATTTATTTAAGGACTTTTTATAAAACCGATTTATTATATTAATTTTTTTTTAATTTCAGTTCATTTATTAATTTTGTTTTAAAATCAGTTCATCATTTGGCAACGAGTTCATTGTTTACATTTTAATTTGTATCAATTACAATTCGAGTTTTTCTTACTTTTTAGCTTTAAATTTGTTTATTTCTCATAGTATGTGATAGTGTTTATGTTAAAAATGAAATCTGCGAAAAAGTCCCCAGCAAATTGCAATCTATATGGTGTTAATGTCAAAATCAAAACTGAAGTATTCATTATTTTCCATGTGCAAGTCGTAAAATTTAGTTTTTTACCATAAATGGATATCTACAAATTCACAATATTGAAATTTTGCAAAACTTTGTTTAGAATCGATATATGATATTTTATCTATTTTCATAGATTCGCCAGAATTTTTTTACTTAACTTCAGTAGGTATACCTCTAGAACTATTTATATGACTAGGGTTAGGGCTTTAGCCCCCCCAGATCTGATGACATAACTTCGCCCATGCATCCATGTTGTAGATATGCTTAGGCTTGTCCATGATGTCCATATGTTAGCAAGAATTTCGCCCAATTTTTCAAAATGGTCACTTACAATAAACCTATTTAGTTTCTGAGCTCTCGCGGGGTTCATGCTTTGAGCTTTCCGATTCCTAATATTAGGATGCCTGTTGAGAAAACCTTTTAGCCAGTATCGGCCCGCCAATTTTGTAACTTTATTAAACGGATTTTGAATTTGGTTGGTCTCACAAAAATTGAACACGCATCGCCGTAAAACTTTCGAAGTTAAGGGATAGCTTACTTCAGCCAAACGAATTATTCTTCCACACAAATCCTATTTTGTTTTAAATTAGTAACTGATTTGCGACGAATGGCAGATTTTGTTGTTTGATGGTTACGTAAGTAGTCTCTCAGGGTCCTACGAGGAAACAAAAATTCCTTACTTGCTGAATTTACAGACACGCCATTTCCAACAGCTGCTAGGGCACGCTGCATGTTTTCTTCCGACCATTTCCCTCTAATACCTCGGTTTCTTGCTTTATTCATGACGATTCTGTAAAATAATGAACGATACTTTAGTATAAATTTAAGAAAACATGAAAAATATTCATGTCTGGCAATATCGCTATTGGCGATATTGTTACGCGGTTATTTTGGCGATATTACAAACACGCTTCTACTGTTTCTTGATTACTTCGGTAAAAAAAACATACGATTGTCTGCCATTAGTTGATAGCTCATTCTTTACTAAAAACTCCTGCTGATAAAAAAGCACTTACCTGCACAATCTTTCAAATATCCAATAATTATCACGAGTAATCGCTTACATCGGTGGTGATGGTAAAGCAGTTTAGGTGGGAAACCAACTGCTAAACGAAAATGTGAGATTCGAATTCACTACAAATTGAAATGTAGATTGCATTTACTATTGGAAAATACCCCAAGCGCCATTTGTCTTTCAGAAACCAAACCTTCCAAGATATGAATCTTTGGTGTTATTGCCAGCTTGGCGATATTGTATTCAACTACCTTAATTTAAAAATAGTGAATGATATTTGCAGAATAATTACTCTAAAATCTTACCATTAGTCTTTAATTTCAGTTTAGACTCAGTCCATTAATTTTTTCTAAGGATTTTTGTGTGTAAACAGTAAAAATTGTTTGCCAACAGTAAAACTACGGCTCGCTCCAGGCTTGCCAAAATTTCAAAACATTTCGGGATATAAACAAAGTTTGATTCGAATTTAGCAAGGATGTCGTACACTAATCCAAAATGTTTAAAATAAACCATTCACACAATAATATTTACCTATCTTTATAATTCAAATAAAAAGTAATTCATTTGAAATATTATGGAAATCATTACACGATTTTTACATGCCGTTTTGTGGCTTGTCTTTCAAAAAATCACATTACCGATTTTATAAAAACTTCAACGCATGTGTATAGTCCAAAAATAAAAATATAAACACCACTGAATATTAATAAAATATTGGAATTTTTAAAAAACTAATGTACGAACCGCAGCAGAATATTTTCTGTCAACTCGATTTTGCATTCCATGACGTCACAGTCTTCCTTAGCAACGGATGAAGAGGCTAAAAACCCACCGTGGAATTCTCATCTCTCATTTCGGCACGTGTTGAGACGACTAACTTCGTTCCACATAATGGCGATTTGTATGTGATGTCTCTCTCTCTCTCTCTCTCTATTCAATTCGTTACGTGTTGAGTACGCACGTAAGATTCCCTGTTCGATCAGTGTACGAGTGTACTGCTATGGCCATCTATACATCTTTCATTTAACTAGTACCAATTTCATTCATTTCATTTAAGAAGGAGACTGTCAATTTTTTTTCAATGAGAACTAGTACGTTTTTAGATTTTTGGTACGATTTGAATTTCAAATTTATCATCCAGTTCAAAATTTAAAATCGGATTTATAAATGTAACAGTAATAATGGCTGGTTACAGAATTAAAATATATTAAAATGGTAGAAACCATAGAAAAACATTGTAGAAAGTAGAAACTTCACATGCCATATAATCTAGTACCCAACAAGTGACACAAGACACGAGTCATATGTTCTACATGTAAATAAATATAAAAAAAACCCATTTTCATAACAATGTACAATAATAACGTGTCAAGTTTTTAATATCAGTTAAAATTTAAAACAAATGTTCGAATAATACGAAAATGGATGAATCAGTGGGTGCTCAATACGCTATCCAAATAGCGGTCCATACACTACGCGACAGATGCAAGTGCCTCCAACAAAGAATATCTCTCCTGGAAGAAGAAAACGTGATTCTTCGAACGAAATGTGTCCGAAACGAAGAAACGGAAAATTCTTTATCGGAATTAGATAAAATAAGAGCTCAAATTACCGAAGTGACTGAACAACGAGATCAACTACAAGAGAGGATAAAAATGGTTACTAACGAAAATCAAGAACTTTGGACTAAATTGGGAAAGTTGATACGTGTAAATAAGAATCTAAACGAGCAATTTAACAAGATTAATGATACGTTGAATCAGCATACTAGTCCTCCAGCTCTTATAAGGTATTTGTATACATAGAGGTACTTTGGGAAATGTTTTGGTTTTGTTGTCTTTATAAACAATTTTTCTTTACACACAGTTTCCTCAAAATGGCTAATTTAAAAAATAATGAAAAAATTGCCACACTATTAGGCTGATATTGGTACATTTTTTAGGTCAAAAACATTTACCCAAAACAATCCACTTCTAAAGCATTCACCACAAAAAACCAACAACCTAGAAATAAATGAAAATCTTAGTTTAGAGTTAGAAAACATCTCATTAAAACTAATGGACAGCTTTTCCAAACAAAAACTGGAACTTGAAAAAATATGTTCCGAAATTACTGAAATGCAATGTGATGATGATATAATAACAGAAAATTTCGGTTTTTGTTTCGACGATGGGCTAGAGGAAGAGGTCTATGATGAATTTAATTATGTTTTGGAAGATTTAAAAGCTCTTAAAGAGGAGGTTTTGTTGCAGAGGAACGCTATGGCGAAGAATCTCAAACAAATGGAGTGCTTAGCTGCTATAAGTAAGTTAATTTGTCATTTGTATGTTCTTACAAAAAACCAGTATAGGCCAGCGCAGGAGGATTTTTAGAACAGGGGAATTTTAACAGATGCCCTTCATCAAGTGGATGGACTGAAGACAAAAGTGATAAAAACTATGACTGTGGAAACATTTACAAGGAAGAGAAGATAAGTGATATAACTGTAATGCACTTAAATATACAAGGTATGGTAGCAAAGAAAATATCCCAACTCGAAGTTTTATTAAAAGACTGTACACCTGATATACTTTGCATATCAGAGCACTGGTTGTCTTCTATAGACATTGATAATTTTAAATTACATAATTTTAATTTAATATATAACTATTCAAGGAAAGTAAATAAACATGGGGGCGTTTGTATACTGTCTAAGAATGGTATATTTACTAAACCGGTTATTTTCAATAACTGTATTGCTGAATTTACAATAATACAACTAGATATATTAGACAAACAGGAAAAAAAACTGTTTATTGTGACAGAACCCCTGATAGTAATATAGATATATTTTTAGACGGAATTTATGATCTGATGTGCAGTATATATAAAAAAACTATCTCTATATTGTTTGTGGAGATGTGAATGTAGATACACTAACTGATAACATAGAATCGAAAAAACTTTAAAAATACATTCCTAGAATTTGATATGTACAATCTGATAGACAAGCCTACACGTGTTAATAGAAGCATTGATGTATTTTTCTCAAATATTCTAGTTGATACATGTCAAATAGAAGATACTCATTTGTCAGATCATAAATATCAATTATTTATTTATTTATTTACGGGTCAGAGCCCATTACAACAATACAATTACAGATAATACATATTACATACATTAAATAGTAATAAAATCCTAAATAATAATAATAAATTAATTTAAATACATAAATATTAAAAACAATTAAAAATTACTCCTCACATATACATAAAGATAGAAAAATCTGATGGACAATATTTTAAGATCCCTTTGGTTTCTTCTGCTCAGAAGGGTCTCAAGATGACAAAGTGTGTGTAATTCGTCATAATTGTATCTGAAGTTGACCGGGACAATACCCGATTTAAATGCAACAATGCGTAAAAATTTTCTTTGAACCTGTTCTATATTATGGATTAGATATACATAAAAAGGATTCCATACAGAAGAAGCATATTTAATATAAGGTCTAACTAAGGCACAATAAAGAATCTTTAAACACATCACATTATGAAAATCAGAACTAGTTCTTCTAAGGAAACCCAACATTCTTAATGCTTTATTAACTGAGGCTGTTATATGAGTTTGAAAAGAAAGGGTGGAGTCTAATATCACACCCAAATCTTTTACCTCTGTAATAGTATCCAGTGTTATGTCATTGATTTTATAGATATATTCAATAGGACTATGTTTTCTGTTGAAATTGATTGCATGACATTTACTTGTATTTAATTCCATTCCATTAGTACTACACCATTGGACCAAGTTATCCAAGTCTTTTTGAAGGCAAATACAATCACGTAAGGAATTTATACGCATGAATAATTTTAAATCATCAGCAAAGCAAAGGAACTGAGAATTCTTAAAACAATTTTGGATGTCATTGTTATATATATTAATTAATTATGTAACTTTAAATTTGCAGGAATGGTAAATAATTTTAATTTTAATAAAGTTTTATTCAGGCGGGACTATTCAGATGGTAACCTGATGACCTTCAGAATATTACTGGCCAGTGAGGACTGGGGGGAGGTATATAATAACGGAGATATAAATTCAAAATTTAATGCTTTTTTTACAACATATCAATATCATTACCTTAATGCATTCCCATTAAAAAAAATCAAAATCAGAAAAAATAAAAAGAAGAAGCTATGGTTGACAAAGGAGATCAAGGATATGAACAAACTGCTATGTGAAATGCACAAATTGTCAAGGGATACAAACAATCAGGTAATAAAAGATAGGTATAAAAAACTTAAGTGTATACATGGATTTATCGTAAAGGAAGCTAAAGTAGAGTATAATAATACAAGAATATTAAATGCAGACAATATCGGGAGGGAGTCTTAGAAAATAATGAATGAGAGTAGAAATAAAACAAGTTCTAGATCACCTTTCGAAATAAACATAAACAACAATACTGTAACAGATAAACAAGTAGTGGCCGATTACTTTAATGATTTTTTTATAGATATAAAAAAAGTCACACCAAATAGGGACCTGAAGCAAGCATCTATTGAAAATAGTTCTTTATTTCTGTATCCTACAACTCAAACAGAAATACAAACCATTATTAACAGAGTAGCAAAGAAATATACTCCAGGTATTGATGAAATTGATGGAAGAACCTTAAAAGCAGCAAGTGACATAATTTGTGCACCACTGTCATATATAATTGATCATTCCTTTATCACAGGGAAATATCCTGAAAAACTAAAGACGTCTAAGTCGGTGTCTATTTTCAAAAATAAAGGGTCAAAGCAGGAGGTAAGTAATTATAGAAATATATGTTTGCAGTCCCAGTTTGCAAAAGTTATCGATTATGCCTATTATGTAAGGCTTAATAATTTTACCTCACAGCACAAGTTAATTACCAGTTGCCAACACGGCTTTAGACAGAAAAAATCAACATCAACAGCAATAGATGAACTTTGTAACTCCATAATTGACAATCTGAATGGGAAGCAGTGCCCAGTTGCCATATTTTATGACCTAACTAGGGCATTTGATACAGTCAATCATGACCTACTCATTGAGAAGCTCTTTAGAATGGAAGTCAGAGGAGTGGCTAGCGACTGGATTTCTAGTTATTTAAGCAACAGACGTCAAACAGTCAGTATAGATTTGATAAAATCACAGCCAAAAGATATTAACATGGGAGTACCACAGGGCTCGAAACTAGCCCTGCTATTATTTATTATTTTTGTCAGTGACCTCACACAATCATGAAAAAAGCAAAAAAAAACAGTCATCTATGCAGACGATACGAGTCACATAGTGGCTGAGCATAAACTTGCTTTATCGGCTGAGTATGCAAACGCCACCGTAGAAGAATTTTCGGACTGGTTCTCAGATAATGGGCTGCTAATTAACATAACAAAAACAGTATTTATGATCTTTCAACAAAAAAAACATTAGTTATGACTTCTGCCCATTAATTAGGCTTGATCAAAGAACGATAGAACAGGTGACAAACTTTAAATATCTAGGGGCGACCCTAGACCAGAAGCTTACATGGGAAGGATATATTGACAAGGTGGTCTCAAGGATGAGCAGTTTTTGTTTTATCTTTAGACAACTTCACAATACAACTTCTCTAAATGTATTAAAGTTAGACTAATTTGGGCTGGTACAATCATTATTAACCTACGGACTAACTTTTTGAGAAAACGCTTCACATACTGTGAAAGTATTTATAACTCAGAAGAAAATAGTGAGATGTATAACTGGTTCCCACTATAGGGCATCTTGCAAGAATTTGTTTAAATCTTTGGAAATATTAACATTGCCATGTCTCTATATATATTTGACCACATTAAACACTAAGAAAAATGAATCTCATTATATTCGAAATAACATGATTCACGAACACGGAGAGGCAATGACTTAAGACTACCATATTCCCGGCTGACCATGGGGCAGGGTTCTGCGGGTTATCAGGGCATCATCTATTTTAATCATATAACTAGGCTTTTGGGTAATAGTAGTTATAATGTTTTTAAAACCAAACTTTTTAAATATTTAGCTGAAAATGCGTTTTATTCTGTAGAAGAATTCCTGCAGATTTCTTGAATCATTTTAATTTAATCTTAGATTTATATATAAATATTTTTTATTCTTATTATAGTAATTTTAGATATATGTTGTAAATGGAAGTGCTATATATTGTATTGTTCTATTTCTTTTTTTTTTTTGATAAGTCTTATAAATGTACATTTTGTTGTGTATTCAAACATATGTATCTGTACATTTGATAGATGAATAAAGGATTTACCTATTTACCTTCTATTCTACTTAATAGGTGTTGCCAAGTTTTGCCTATGAATTAATGCACCATTAAAAGAGCCTCAAAGGCATGGCACTTCTTGATACATTCATTATTTTTACAGACACAACTTCCTGCAAACTCTGTGATAGAAGAAAAACTTCCAGAATGGAAAAGACAACGTCGACTGACGACATACCCAAAACAGGGGTAGATAAGAGCACTGAAACATCTCAGTGTCCTCCTAAAGAAGAAAAATCCTCTGCGATGAGTCAATCACTTCCTGTCGAGGTTGAGAAAATTTGCCCAATCTGCAGCAAACGATTCAAGAAAGAGGCGAAGTTTGAAGAGTTTCAGGAGCATGTGGAAGCACATTTTATATCAGAAGTTGGTGATTTTGAAGTATTATAGTTTTTGATTTTTAGTTTTTATTTTGAGCGCATTTATTTTAGGTTTTTTTCAAAGTCTTATAAGAGTATTTTTTACATAATGTGTTTTTTTTATAAGTTTGGCGAATATATTTATTTTTCATTTTGATCTGATTTCGTTTTTATTTTTCTTATTATTTTTTCTTCTTATTCCTTTATCTTTTTTTGGACAAAAAACAATTTTTAAGTCTTTCGCTTTTTGACTTAATAAATTCGATTATAGCAGTACTGTGTTACTTTCTAAAATATGCAAATTAGATAATAGAATCGGGTTTTCCATTAATAACTCCTTTTATATCGATTTTACAGTAAAAATTGAGGTGTAAAAACCGAAAGTTAATTAATAGTCCGGGATCCGTAAGTAGTGTCGACCTTCACCAATCTGTTTAATGGATAAAAGTTTTTTTTTATTAAATAAAATATGTATTTAAATATACCGCAAATAGGTTGCCTAGGAAAATACGGTCACGGCCATTTTTTACTTTCCTTTCTGTGTACAGATAAGAAAAGTATAGGAATCATGATAAAAGTTGCTTATGATGTCATTCTCTATTATTTTGTTCCTATACATGATTTCCCTAAAATGGACCTAATGCGAGATATTTGAGGAAAAGTGCAAATTTCGAATTTTGAAGATAACTCAAAAATGGATAAAGAGAAAGACACCAAATTATAAACTTAAGCTTCATTCCATCCTAAGGTGAGCTGATTAAAGTTTAGGTATAGTCAAAGCATCTGGATAATACTTTACAGGGTGTCGTTTTTTTAACTTTAAGAAAATAAATAGTCTGGACCGTATTTTCTTAGGCAACCCATTTGCGGTATATTTATAAACATATTTTATTTAATAAAAAGAAACTTTCATCCATTAAACATATGGATGAAGGTCGACCTTATTTCGGATCTTAGACTATAAATTCTTTATAAAAAATGTCATTAGCATGTTTGTCCTACACTCAATAGCTTTTAAACGGCGACAGTGCAAGGATGAAAAGATTTTGAATGCACCTTCCATTTCGTCATTTTATTTCAGTTATAGGTACTTATAGTACTTGCATCCTAACTGCACATGAAATGTCAAAAGGGGAACCACATTTTATTCTACAACTCGTTAAATTTGGGCATTACAACAAATCCAAGAAACAGCTCCAACCTATATGTTTCATTTTCCTCTCAATATAATTTGTTAACAATAAACCCTATAGAAAAATTTCTTTAGTAACAGTTGCAGAACATATGATTCTTTATAATTTTAGTTATATCCATTTTTTTGTAATATTAATGTTTTTTGCAAATATTGTAATACTTTTTTGTTGAAAATAAAATTTGGTATATTTATTATCTAATAGTTTCTTCTTTAATTTAATATTTATTGAATTATATCAGTTTTCAAGTTTCTAAAAATTTGTTTCTCTTTGCCTACTTTAGAAACATTTTTTTTAGATCACTATAAATGCAGTAAATTTATGTTTAATTTTGTTTAAGTTTACAATCCTTAATTTCAAAAAAATCGGAGTTTTGTATTTATATCCTTTATTATTGTTTTTTTCTAGAATGTCTTCATTATGTCTGCACACCAGTCGACTTTTTTGGACTAAGCCACGCTAAACGCTGGTTAACTAGAAACTTCTATTAAGGAAAAAACAATAATCACCAAAAATAATTTAGATTATAGTATTAAATGAATATATTTATTTATATATATACACGTCATGTTGGTTTATTTGTATAAATGATAATTTTAGGTTGTAAAATATTTATTACAGCAATAAATCGAAAAGAATGTTTTATTTTATTTCACAAATACATATGAGAAGGTCCTACAAAATTGGTTTGGAAAGTTATAAAACTGTTTTATTTCTATTAGCAGTAATAAAGTGATACATTACGTAACTAGTTTGGAAATGCAGTAAATATTTTATTATCCATGGGAAATACAATTTTTTATGGGTTATGTCATGTCAGTACACAATTTTTGCACCTGTAAACCAAACCTGTCAGCAAGAGCGTTGTTGCCAATTCGTCAAAAATCTGAAATATATGGAAAATAAAAATGTTTTACTATTATATTGAAAAATACAGATTTTTCCAGAATTACACTAATTTATAGATACTTACTTTTTTATTTATTTAAGCTGGAAGTTTGTGCATGCCGTACATACCTTTATTATTACAATTAATTTGTCAATCAGGTAAAAACGTAAATAAAACGATAGGTATTTTTAAAATAGGGACAAGTATATTAGAAACTCTAAAATATATATAATTAATAGTTAATTAAAATTAAATCATTAGATTGCTTAAAAAAATAGACATTTTGTAGAGATAGAGAGAGAAATTGAAGATATTTTTTGTTTAATTTACAGTACAGAAAACACATTTTTCAAACAGAAATTGAAGGACTAAAATGATTTTATATATTATATAATTAGTGTGTCACAGAAAGTTTTCGCCATATGATTAACATTTGTTAACAACTGTTCGTGCCACACTTGCATAATTGCTGAAAATACAAACTTAAAACATTATCTTTGTAACTTCAGCAATTTTCACTTAAAACATAAAATGTCAAAAAAACATAATACCTAGCCTAATTACTTAATACTTTTAACATCTTTTGGATGATTTCCACAATTTATTAAGAAATACAATTAAATTTAATTAAAAACCCTACTGTCCATACCTTTTTTTTATTATTAAAGTTACAATTTTATACTTTTTTATAAAGCATTTTTCATACAATAAATACTAAAAAACATGGCTAATCAAAAATAAATTACTAATTAACGACCTTTTTATTTTAAGTGTTTTTGATCATTTTGCAACTATGCTTGTTTTTTAGGTTAATTTGCATATTTTTAACACACTATACTTTTGAGTAATTTTGAAAATATATATTTTAGGTCTAAATAGCTTTTACTTAGACCTTTTAATATGTCTAATATTTATATTTAGTTAATCATTGTATTTTTAATACACAGTGTCTAGGTACACACCAACTTGTATGCAATTCAAAAATGTATATACACGCGAAACGTCTTAACAGAGTAGGTGAGCTGTGTGCAGGCCGTTGGTGTTTACGCCGGTCGAAGCTAGGTATGGATTAAAAATTTTTTGTGGCGGCGAAGCCGACAAGAAGTCGTTGCTTCGTTTTTTTGTTGTTACGGCATTATTTATTATTTGTTCATGCATGTGAAATTTGCTTCTAAGTTTTATAAAATACTACTGTGCTAGTCACGGCGTAAATGAAAACAAACAAGACGCATTCACACAAACACCTCCCACCACAACAATATGACGTTTCGCGTGTATATAATTTTTTGATTTGTGTACACTTTAGCGTGTACCTAGCAACAGCGTTTTTAATAAGGAAATTATTTTCGTTTGACATTTTTAAATACTTTGATTTTAAAGTTTGTATATTTTTTTCATTCTAAAATTCCAAAAGGTCGTTAAATGGTTCATCTTTATTCAAAACTTAAAATCTACCAATTACTTTTAAGTACAATTTTAAGTATTTTTTTTTAATATAAAAATCTTATATTGAAACTAGGCTGATTTGAGAAAACATCATAGTTATCTGTTTTTTTCTTTTTAATTTGTAATAATCTACTTTTTAATATTTAATCATAATAATGTCTTACACCAAGAAGGTGAAGATTAGCTGAAGTGTATGTAGATTATTTTATTTCGTGAGGAGCATACACCTCATGAAAAAGTTTCATTTCATTTATGTTTTCGAGTATACTTGTTATGAAAAAGTCCAGTTTGTATTGTGAGAATACTTTTCATGAAGAAATATCAACTGATTTATCATGAGTATCCTCATTATAAAAAAATGCATTTTATTGTAATGAGTATACACCTCGTGACTAAATCAAAATTGTTGTAATATGACCAATATTCCCGGCGTGAAGAACTTGCATTTGTGTTGTCAGGAATAGAAGTAATGAAAAATATCAGTTTTTATGTAAGGACAAGTATTCTTGTTTTATAATGGTGAGTAATACTCATCTAGAAACTCACAAATTGCTGGAAACACAACAGTTTGGTTTTCAAAGGAACAAAAGTACTTCTGATGCGATATTTTCTTATCTTGAACATGCTTATTCTAGAATTAATGTTGACGATTCTGTAGCGGCGATATTCTGTGATTTAACTAAGGCGTTCGATTGCGTCAATCATACAGTACTGTTGGATAAACTTCGAGTTTACGGGATCAAAAACGGAGCGCTGAGTTGGGTAAAATCTTATCTTTCAGAACGTAAGCAAATGGTAAGAGCGTCTCAGGATTCTCAAGTTTTAGATATTAGTTGGGGTGTCCCTCAGGGTTCTGTGTTAGGTCCCATATTATTTCTCCTTTATGTGAATGACTTAGCTCAACTTGAAATTGCAGGTACTTTCACTCTATTTGCAGATGATACTACGATTTTATGGCACAGCAATGACACTTCTGTCCTATACAACACCATATCCTGTGACATTAAGAAAATCAAAGCATGGTGCGATGCCAACTATTTGCGTCTTAATATGGGAAAAACTAAAATGCTAACCCTTAAATGTTCCCTACCAAATATTCAGTTGGGAAGTCATATTATTGAATGTACTGACACAATAAAATTTCTGGGAATTAATTTAGATAATAATTTGAAATTTAGAAACCATATAGAATTGCTAAACAGAAAACTTTCTTCTGGATGTTTTGCAGTCAGAACTGTGGCAAAAGAACTAGGTTTTAAGGCAGCAAAAAGTGTGTATTACGCCCTAGTTGAGTCCCATTTGAGATATGGAATTGCATTTTGGGGAGGTTGCAGCCGCGAATTATTCAATACTGTTTTTTGTCTGCAAAAGAGAGCAATACGATTTTTATGTGGAATGAACAAGCTTGAGTCATGTCAGCCACATTTTATTAGACATGAAATTTTAACATTAACATCGTTGTTCATTCTTGAAACCACTTGTATTATACATAAAAATAAATCGAACTATGTCAATACTAACGCTCGGCTAACGCGACAAGTTGACAACCTGCGGTTGCCCATACCCAAATCTGAACTGGTAAGGGGCTCTTTCATTTGTATTTATATAATTTTATCGATGTTGTGTTACGTATTTGTATTTGTAATTAACCTCTAATTTTATATTTAACGTTTTTATACAATTTTTAAATTTTTATGCATGTAATTGTTAGTACTACATAATAATTATATTTATAAGTGTTTGTCTATAAGTTCTTGTAGCTTTGACAATAAACATATATTGATTGATTGATTGATTCATGCCTAAAAAGTTTTGTTTTAATTTTTAAATTTCAGAATACCTTTATTTTCTATTGTAAAAATTTGCATATGTTGCATTCATTGTGAAAAAATTGCAGTTTTTTTATGTCATGAAAACCTCGTAAATAAATTGAAATTGTTGCAATATGATGAATATATCCTTCGTGAAGCACTTGCGTTATATGTGTTGTCAGGTATACTAGTAATGAAAAATTAGGATGAATATCCTTATTTTATAATGGTGAGTATACTTGTCACTCCTACAAAAATAAGATTTTAATATTTGATGAAAGATAGCATTTTTTATGTTAGAATGAGTACACATGTCATGAGTAAAATGTTTAATTGTTAAAGTTTATTTTGTAATGGTCGAAATACTTCAAATAAAAACAGATATTTACCATGTTTTTCAGCTCCATTGCGATACCTAACCGAAAAAATCAAGAAACCTATAAAAACTACTATTTATGGAATTTATCAATACACACGCTGCACGACCAGGAGCCCTCTGGCGGGTTTACCAAAGGCGGGCTCAAACAGTACATGTGATAACCGCGATCGCAATCGTCACAAAACAGCAACTGGTCATCATTTTCAGAATTTCCACACACCGAACAGCACTTGCACTCGATGCACTGCCAACGGTACGTCTTCACAGATATCTTCATGTTATCAGTGAACTGCAAACAGGTGGGATGCCCGGAACGTCCGCAATCCGAACAAGACACCAACTCCTCCTGCGTTCCCGTCTTTTTGTTCTCGGTGGAGTCGCCCAAGCAGAAATCGCAGTAAGGACTCGATCCTTTTTTCGTCGAATCTGCCGGGACAGACGGTCCGGGATTCTCTGCAGTTTCGACAGTTCCAGTTGTAACAGCACCTTTTTCTGGAATCAACACAGGCATCTGGGGTTCCTCGACCAACGGCGAAGCCTGCCGGGGCGGTAAATTAGGAGGCAAATTCGGCGGACGACCTCTTCTGCCAGGCACGCGCTCAACTACAATCGGTTTATCCGGATCTCCAGGAATCGTTTCGAAATTATGCCCAGATTTCTTCGCCCTTCCTCGACCACTGCCTTTTTTTCTACCTGGAGTTCCTGGGGTGTCGAAAGTATTAGCACCGCGCCCTCTACCGCCTCGACCGCGACCTCTACGTCTCTTACTATTATAACTTTCTTCATAATCGAAATCAGAATCAGGATCTGGATCATCATAAGGATCCATCTCTAATTCATCATAGTACCAATCTTTTGGTACATCATCTTTAAGCAACTGGCTATCCTTGCTGTCTGTATCCTGTAATGCAGGGTTCTCCATTTGTGATATATTATGTATATCCCCTTCAGAACCGTTCAATAAATAATCAGCTCTAAAGGGCCGGGCACTCATCAACAAATACTGCCGACGCTTTTTTCTCCATCTCTGCCTAGGATAGGAGTATATCTGCCCTGGAAGCAAACCAGGAATGCGCTGCCTTCGATCCATAAATAGCGATGAATGATTCTGTGCTACCCCTGTTTGGGTATCAATGAATGGCAGTCGTAACCTTCTTTCAATGTTGAGTCGCATATTGTAATTGCTCGAATTTTCGAGTGCCTCCTTATAAGCTGCCTCATTGATGAAACTTTCAATCTTCTCCAAACTAGTTCTCGAACTGTTATTATTATTATTATTATTATTATTAATAACAATAATTGGTTCCTCAACACAAGTAGCAACAGTTGTAGCCATTTTTATTGACTTACCTACTTACCTTCTCTAGGATATTATCAAAATTCAACATAACCTCCTTCAATTGATTCCGTTCTTCTTCAGTCTTCAACCCTGTGCAATACTCATCAAACTTCCTTTGTTGGTATGTCTTCACAAAGAAAAAACAATGTTTTATGGTAGCGCCTAAATACAATGTATTAACAATAACGCGTTTCCCGTCTATATACTTGATAAGCGGAATAATTGACGATACGAATTTGTGGGGACCTCTTCTGATTCTTATGACTGCCACTCTTGTGTGTTCATTCAAATATTTGCTTGTAAAACCTGGTCTGATTGACGCTACTCCGAAATCACCGTGGATTTTTTCAACTTCGCTTAAAATAGTTTCGTGAATAGATTGTTCTCTTAGCTTAAAAGCGGAAGTCTGAGATTTTCCTACTTGGTTTACTTCTATCACGATATATCTGAAAAAAAGAATTAAATGGGTCAACTGATTTGAACAAGGAAATTTAAAATTCTATTCTATACCTATTCTTAAGTCTAACCATATTACTTATGCGTGCATTTAAGTAAAGTTTCCTCGATATATTATCAAAAAAGGTGAAAAGCTCTCAAAATACAACTTAATAGGTTATGTTTTTTCTTTTCTTCATTTTCTTAGGGTGGGGGTTGTTTAGAGGCTACTTGCTTGTCAGGAATCGAATTTTAAAACCTACTTTATTTTGTCTTGCCTAAGTTGTTGATACAAATAAAAATAATGAATTCATTGTTTTATTTTTTTAGAATTCTAATTCCTAATTTTGTAATTTTAAATAATTCTTTCATTCTACATATTTCCTGACTGAATAACTAGTGATAGTCAAGACCATAACTGAATTGGTAAAAAGAAGTTTCTTAAAATGGTTCGACTTCCGTTACTTTCAAATTTAGCTACTGTCGTCGAGAGGGCGATACATGTCATTTCCTTTAAAGTCGATAAAAACTTTTCCTGACTTATCCTTTTTGAAACATGGCAGTTCTTCCATGTGCACACTGACGAGAATTTATTCCCGATTTCAGTGAAATTTGTTATAAATTTTGTTCAAGAGAATAGTTTTCGTGTGTAAAATTAGTTAAAAATGAAGTTGAACGTTTCGTTTCCGGCCACGGGTTGCCAAAAACTCTTCGAAGTAGTAGACGAACACAAGATTCGTATTTTTTACGAAAAACGCATGGGCCAAGAAGTTGAAGCCGATGCTTTGGGCGACGAATGGAAAGGGTATATCCTGAAAATAGCTGGTGGAAATGACAAACAGGGATTTCCGATGAAACAGGGTGTTTTGACAAATGGTAGAGTACGTCTTTTACTATCGAGGGGCCACTCATGCTACAGACCCAGACGTACTGGTGAACGTAAAAGGAAATCAGTACGTGGCTGCATTGTTGATGGAAATCTTTCGGTTTTGGCTCTAGTTATTGTAAGAAAAGGCGAACAAGAAATCCCTGGACTTACAGACACTACCATTCCCCGTCGTCTAGGACCCAAGAGAGCTTCCAGAATCCGCAAGCTGTTCAACCTTAGCAAAGAGGACGATGTTCGCCAATATGTAGTTAAACGCCCATTGCCCGCCAAAGAAGGTAAGAAAAGTATCTAGAAATTATCTAAAAAGTAGGGCCAATTTATAATTGCTAATAATTATAAATATTGTGTCCCTTTGAATGTAGAACTTTTCTGTACTTCTAAATTTGTATTTACTAAATAATACCATTAAATTGATTCCCCAATTTCATTTAAATTTGAATTCATTTAAAAGTAACTATTCTTAACCTTTGAATTTAATTGAGATATCCCAATTTTCATTATCCATTTTACAGGTTAATGCAGATTTTAGTGCTTTTTTAAAAGAATTAACTTTTGGCTAATTTAGTTAGGTCATTTCATTATTTTACACTTTTGACATAACTTTAATGGATTTTCTTTGTTTAAGGTAAAAAACCAAGGACGAAGGCCCCCAAAATTCAACGCCTCATCACTCCAAGTGTTCTACAAAGGAAACGTCATCGTTTGGCACTCAAGAAGAAGAGGTGTTTGAAACGCAAAGAACAAGCAGACACTTTTGCTAAGTTGCTGGCCCAACGCAAGAAAGAGTCAAAGGCACGTCGTGAGATGCTCAAGAGGCGCCGGTCAGCCAGTATGCGTGACAGTAAATCAAGCACTCATAGTGGACAAAAATAAATTGATTTTTTTTTATATTTTAATAAGGCAATGTGAGGATTAAACGTTGTTGCTTGAAATTGAATATTTATATTAATAGTTTATTCCTGATCCCTTTTCCTGATTGTTTAAATATATTTTTTTGATGTTAGTAGAGTTGAAAAAGTAAAAAAAATATAGTATACTTTTTAATTTTAACTGAAATTTGTTGTATAATGTCATTTATGGAATAAAGTGTATCTAAATGGATGCAGCGATTATTAAAAAAAAAAAATTAAGAATGTTTAAGTACACTAAATAATTTTGTAAGTAGTGTTAAGGAAGAGAAATATGTAATAGATATACAGACCCACAGGTATTTTTGCCCAAACAACTCATTTACTTGGTTAAAAAAAACAATTTTTTAATATTTTAAAGCTTTTTTTGAGAAAATTAGTCAATTGAATTTTAGGTCCATGCTTAACAGATTCAAACGCCCTTTTGTAAATCAATAAATACTGCCATTAATTAAAATACTTTATTTTGCATAACAATATTAATTACAATGACCCACAAAAAGGCCACCAAATCTGACTTCCTTTGACATGTATTCACTTTCCAAAATTAAATAATTGTTTTTTAAGTACGTTCCAAATGATTGTGTTCAATAAATAACTCTCGTAGTTAGAGTTTACTCTCCGACATAATTGGCTAGAGTTAAGCAGGTTACATATTTATTGAACAGTTTTGAGTTCAACCTTCGTCATTTGTCAAAGAGATGAATATAAAATTTCTTGACTAAAATATGAATTACATGACCCTAAAACTAAAAAATATCCTGCTACGGTTGCAGATAATTTATCAAAAATTATGTTTACTCGTATTAGATTGAATCACACCCTAACATATAGGTCAAAAGCAAGATAAACAGAGTTTAATCCTTTAATGGAACCTGTACACTTTTTTATTGTCAAATAGTAAATTTGAATTCCTGCGATCCGTGGTCATGTTGCCTATTCCTTTTTTGGAATTGTGTAAGAAAAGTAAAATTTACCTTGTTGTTTTGTGTGGTTAAGATGTCCAAAACTTCGTTTTTCGAACTCTTAACAAAACCTAAATTTTTTATCCAATATAATAATCGAATGGCGTAAGAGTAAAAGGTACTCTCAAGAGTTACTTATCGAACACAAGCCAGGGTTAGCAGGTACGGCTTTTTTTGCACCTAGGTTAAAAAAAAACAACATTCTGTAATTTTAGGTTTTTAAGACAAATATTAAGAATTCACAATTTTACTAATCAACTCTAGGGGAAAGTGCAAAAAATGAGTATATATAGTATATAAATAAAAATGCAAAGATTTCATCAAAGGTTATACCTACTTCTTATTGATATTAATGAGTAACAAATAAAAAAAAACATTTGGTATTTATTTTTCACTCATTAGTTTTTTTGTTTGTGATTTTTTAATACAATAACATATTTTTCAAGTTTTGATTTTAACTTTATTAATATAAACTTTTGACATATATAAACTAAAAACCTACTTATTCACTTTTTATTTCTTAGGTTTTTTCCAACCCTGGTCCAAATATATATTAGTTTCCTTGAAAAATTTACTGGAACATAAAGAATCCACCCACAGGTTGAAAATGAGTGGGATGATCGCATCTTCTTCCACTGTGACCCAGATTGATCTATTATATGGCTCAATCCCACCCATGGATAAAATATCTATTTTATCTATGAATTGCCAGCAGGATTGATATTCCTGCACATTCGACTATGTAACTTTTCTTGTAAATCTTGTAATTTTGTAAAAAGAATCTGTAAGGTTGGGAATTGGTTTTCTTTATAGGTGTTGTAAACCGTTCGTCGAATCACATCTTTAGATGCATAATCTATTTGACGGCTGACGACATCTTTTCTTTTTTCACTGTGTTCAATCACAACGCCTCATTTAATAACGAAATAAATTATGAAAAAGGGATTTTTGTTAACTTATATATTCTTTTAAATGTATTTGTTTGAGAAATATTTGGATTTTCTGATTAAAGACAAGCCAACATATTTAAAATGACCGATTAGATTAGGAGTTGGACGTTATTTGTCCTTGTCCACCGCGACCTTTTCAGATCTATTGTGGGACTCCGTTTGTTTTAGAGTATGCCTGGTCTTTTTTATTAGACTTAGTAGCTTTGACAGTGGATCCCGCATGTAGTTGCATGCAATTGGCTTTTCTTCGCCCAATGTTAGAAACCTCATTCCAGCCAAGCCTTCACATTGGCACAGGACGTGGAATGATGTTTCCTCTTCTTCTTCTTCACAGAACCTGCACAAAGTTGCTTCTTCTGCTGGATTTATGACACTCATGTGCCTTTTGAGGCGACAGTGTCCAGTAAGAAGGCCTACTGTTACCCTAACGATTTTACGTTTTTGATCCAGTAGGTCTTTCGTAAACTTGGCCGATGGTTCCTTGATGAACTGTTTGGCCTGTCTCAGTCTTGGATAGTTGTTCCACCATTCCTAAGACTCTTTTTGCATCCATTGTTTAATGGATGCAATGCCTTAGCAACTCTACAGAAGGGTTCGGGGCCTGTCATGGCCTTATCTGAGCCTTCTCGGGCTAATTCGTCTTCCTTTTCGTTGCCCTGATATCCCTCATGGCCTGGAACCCAGGCTAAGGTCACCTTATTTTGACTACTTAGCTCTGTCAGGTCTTCTAGACAGTCTTTTACCAGTCATGATTTGATTTCTGGTGAGAGAATTGCCTTTACCCAGCAAACACACTTACGTACATAAGACGTACTATGTACGTACTGATGGGACGTAAAGTACGTACCATGTACGTACTTTACTGTACGAAGTACGTACATAATACGTACATTTTCCAAACGACGGTACGTACCTAGTACGTACTTAAAGTACGTACTCTGTACGTACCTAATGTACGTACCTAATGTACGTACTCTGTATGTACATAATGTACCTACTCTGTACGTACCTCATGTACGTATTGTGTACGTACTTAATGTACATACTATGTTTGTACTTAATCCAATAGAGTATATATTTTAGACATACTTTACATCCTTATTGGTACTTACTTATGATGTATAATGTACGTATTAGTGCAATAAAAAGAAAAGTAAACAAGTTAATTTGTATTTATTTAATTTTTTACATTAAAAGAATAATTTAAATTGTTTTGCTATCTTTTTGAAAGTTTTTAGGCTATCATCAGCTCTTCTTAGCCATCTCACAATTTCCTGTTCTACAAACTTCTTCTCTTTGCATTTGTTACTTTTTATAGCACCTTCTGCAAAGAAATAATTTCAAATTAGAAACTTAACTTTGGTACTTTTTATAATAAACAATATAATAAAAACAATACAACAAAAAGATGTAGAGTAAAGTAAGCGATAGTTTCTACAGCTCAAAATTATCATTGTCAATATACTCCTGGATCTAAACCTCTCTCATTTGTATCCACCTGTTTTGGCCTTATGCCTTTGAAATCCAATTCGTTCCTGCCACTGTTCTATAATATCGGAACTCCTATATTTCTTTTTGTTAAGCTTGATCTCCATCAGTTTTGAAGTCCAATGGTTGGAAGTACACAATTTCATTAGAAACAAAAATAATTGTGACTAGATAGATGGGTTTTAATGCAACGACTTTATGAAAACTGGCATGCAAAAATAAAAAATTAAAACATCTTACCCACTTCAACTGCAGCCAATTATAATTTGTTGCCAGCTTATTAGTTATTAAGGCACCAGCAATAGTCCTTTTGACAAAATCCAAAATTAAATTATTAGAGTCTGTAAAATATCACTTCTTTTGTCTAAAATATTAGATACCTCCTGTTTATTCATTTCCTTAAACTTTTTTAATTGTTTTGTAGCATTTTTGTAATGTTTACTATGGGATGGGATGACATATCTATAAATTATATTTATTACACATAATTTTTTAAAATTAAAATGAAACCACTCACCAGAATAAAATGACAAAACTACGTACTTATAACACGCACTAAAAAGTCTAAATAACTGTCTTGTTCAATTATAATAAATTATACACAACTATTTATTTAATGAAACACCTAATAGTTAAATCCTAAACATGAAAAACTAACAAAAACAATCTGTTGAAACGTGGTTCCTTGCATTGCAACACTTAAAAAAACGAGCGAGTTTAGTTTAGAGTTTAGGTTAGGTTAAATAAATTGGGTTTCGTCTTTTTTCTTTGCATTTTTTGGCCTACGGTCAACAGAAATTTGGTAAAAACATAGGTTTTTTAATAAAATAGGTATGCAACCAGGATTACGTACACTTAGGTACGTACTTAGTACGTACTTTTCTGTACGTACTGGTACGTACTGTTGTGTACGTACTTAAAACGTACATTTTACGTCCTGTACGTACAGTACCAAAACTGTACGTACTTAAGACGTACTGTGCTGTTTGGGTAGAGCTGCTTGGCTATCAGAGTATATGGCAATAGTTTTGCCTGATACTTGCTGATTTAATATTTCTCTTGCACAGTGTTGTATGGCTATTAGCTCAGCCTGGAACACTATTGCATATTTTCCTAAGCTTAGTGAAATCGTAGATTTCGACTTAGGTCCATAGATTCCAGCACCTATTGAACTTGAATATGTCCCGATTTTTGAATTCCCAAGATTGTGTTTCACCTTCATTGTCATTATTATGAATTGCATTATTAATACGTATTTCATCATTAATTTGTACTGCATTTAGTTGTACTTCGTCATAATTCTGACTATTATTTATTTTAATTTTATTATTAATGTGAATATCATCATTAACCTGCAATTTATTAGCATCTACATTTGCCTCAAAAGATCTCCATCTCGCACAACACAAATCAAAATTTTACAGAAACACCGAAAAATAAAAACAAGTTTAACAAACGCTTTGAGAAACCAAAAAAATTTTTGTGACCGTCCACGCTACTGAACAAAGAGCAACTTATTACGCTGATTTGACTTCAGCAAATTTACTTAAAAAAACATCCTTTGTAAATTTGCTGAAGAACGAAGTAAACGTAATAAATTAAGAACAAAATTTGCCAAGTTGGCGAAAACAGTAGATCGACTGTTAAAACAGTAGATATCTGGCAACACTGAGCCAGGTGCAGCAACAAATTTAAGAAATCGCGTAACCTCTCACTTGTGGACTTTACATCAACTGGTAGTTGCATTGATGATTAAAACTTAAGTGG